CTTTGGATAAGAGAAGCTTCTTTTTAATATGTATATTGCCGATTTTCGTAGTCAATAAATAAATAAATAAGATATAAACATAGCTTAGCTCTTTTTGTCCTATTTATATTGAATTAGTTTGAAAATTAGCGATTCAAATAGAAGTATGTAGGTCATTCCTTTTTTTATCCCTTTTCATTCCAGCTTTTAATTAAATTTAAAATAAATGAAACTTTTAATCTTTAATATTTAATCTCAGAACATTATTGAATCCAAAAATTTTGAATTGAATAATACTTTTAGAGTTTATGTGATAATTTTATCCCAGGCTAAATTTATAAAACCATTATTTTACGAAATACAAAAAAAACACATCCACCTTTATACGAAAACTATGTTTATGTGATTAAATTTCTTAAAATTGATTTTGAGAAAACCAACACATACATATGTAGGTACACCCAAAACACACATTACAAATTCTTTATTTCTGTTCCTTTTTGATTTATTTATATTAGGGGTTGGTTATTGTTTTTATCTTTATCTATTAAATCGAATTTTTTGTATTTTACTTGGCACGGCATGAAGTTGCATTATTTGTTTTGGTTCCTTATTTGCACCTTCTTTGTAGTATAGTTTTTTTTTTTGCTTCACACAAGTTTACTAGACATCCGCACATACCAATATCGATTCACTACAAAAACTCTAATTATTGTTGTAATATTTATACATTTTGAACTCTCACTCTTGCCACTTATTAGGATTTTTCATATGGAGGTCTTGTGGATAAAACTCATAGTACAGATTTAAGTTGCGGAAAATCAGAAGGTAAACACGCGCCGATTACGTATAATAAATATTTGTTTATTATTCATTTTTTAATTTATTTTTAACAGCTTCGGTGGATTCCATAACTGATGGTGATAGACGGGCACTGGTGAGTGTAACATTAACTCAACTGTAAATATTCATATTATTTTTATTATTTTTATTTAACAGATGGGTGGCGAGCTTCCCGCTTCTAGCACATATTCGGGTGTATTGTCCTATCATTATCCGCAAGCTGGTTTGATACGTCGGAGTTTACCCAACATGGCGCACTCATTGCTTGTACATGAGCCGGCTAAGATTTATCCTTATCATTTATTAGTCATCACAAACTATCGTCTACCAACAGATGTTGATCGCTGCAACTTAGAGGTAACTAACTACCAACTACTAATTTTCATTCATGCAAAGTAAAAAAAATTTCTAATTTTATTCCCTAGCGTCATTTGTCGGATGTAGAATTCGAACATGTGCTGCAATGTTCACGTTCCGAGTTCTACCGACTGCCCCAATGGAGACGAAACGAGCTAAAGCGACGGGCTAAACTGTTCTAAAAACAATTTTTTCTAGTAATAATATTGAATCAGCATTTCTTTGCCGGATAACTGGCTGGATAAATAGGACTGTCTCAACACACACACATGCACCTGCGATTGTTCGTAGTAAAAAAAGCAACTAAAAGCATACACACACAAAAAAAAACAGAGAAAACAAATTACAAACAATAATTAAAAAAACAAAAAAAAAGTTCGTCGTATACACTTGCTTTTTTCATAGTAGAACGATATTTACGAGACAATGTCAATAGCTTCGCTATTCACATCTGCTACACTCACCAGAGACAAAACTATTGAAACTAATAGCTAGCTGTAAACGAGAATAAGCGCCAGAGACCGCCCCCTAGTTACCAAATTGACTACCAACTATCTTCTTATAGTGAATAAGATTAAGTGGAATTGCCTAAATGCAAATATTGATCGCTAAAAAAAAGAATCAATCTTCAAGCTTTACAGCTTTCCACTACGATTATACAAAAATAGTAAAACTTAAACTAAATCTGAGCTTTTTTCTATTTTTTGTAGCATACATACTTACATATATTACTTATGTTCGCAATTATATTGTATTTATATATACCTGTATTTTTAAATTATATTAAAAGAGAATGTTGCGAGAGCTTATACTACGTATGTGTTGCATATGTACGAGACACACATATGGCATGTATGCTGATTTCTATTGACTTATATATATTTTCATTTCCTTTATGCATTTGTATTTATTCGCGTATAATTAAGGCGAAATAGGTCGAAAAGCAGAAATGATGCTAAATTACTAATTTGCTTTCTAAAAACAACAAACAGAAATATGCAATTAAGATAAAAGAACACGCTAAAAATCGGAAAATTGCATAAAAACTATGTATTTACAAATATATGCTTAACATTTATTTAATGTGAAATATCCGCTCTTTTGATTGCTGACGCTTAACGGAGTAAGTATTAATAAGCGCGTTTATATTAAATATATTTTTTTATTTTTGTAAATTTCGAGGGCTGTCCAAAAATAGTTGAAAATCTAAACTATCTAAATATTTACAAAAGAAAAAAATTTTCCGATTCAATCTAGGAATTAAAAAAAAAGCTTCGCTATGTATATACAAAGTTTATTTTTTATTTATTGCAATGAAAAGCTTCTATTTTTTTATAAATGTAGTGCAGTTTATTATACAAAAATACAATGCAGTTTATTGTACAATCATAATGTGCGTTTTCGCAGTGAGTATTTGGATAAGGATTCTTACGGAAGGCTTCTGTGTTTTGCTCAGTACAGTATACTTAATCGGCTTTAATACTATTTTATTGTTTCTAATTTGGAATGTTCGCTTCTTTCATTCGCATGAATGTCATATGTAAGAAGAGTCTTCATAACAGTTAAACTACTTCCTATAATTTGTTTATGGTAAATTTGACGAGTAACAAATCTGAAAATGAAGCACGAAAAGCAAATCAATGGTATCAGAAACAAGTGAAATATAAGGAAATAAAAAAGTACCCCATATTGTCATAAAAATCACGTTCTTCCTCTTGCCACTCGGAAATTGTACATTCCAAAGAGCTACATCCGTTCGCAACACATTTTTTTGACACTAAATTCAGCATTGGTTCGGCGATTCTCTGAAAGGGATAATCGGGCGCCATAGCAAAGCGATACATCCAAGCTGCATTATAAAGCGAATTGTGTTTTTTAACACTTACTGTAGCGATTATCTAAACACCAATCAAAACAAGTATATGATTGGGAAAATCATTTATCGCAAAAGTATCTTGAGTACCAACCTTTTTTCTAAATTTATTTAGGTATGATTGTTCGTAAGGAGATTCATCGAGGAAGATCTGGTATGTCGCTTCTCGTGGTTTCAGGCGAAATATGAATGGTTCGTAGCATTCCGCCACGAGAGATTGTGATGGTTTCGTCTGTGATTGAAGCAAATTTAATACATTTTATTTCCGAAGTAATTATGTTATAAAGATTTATTATACCCTCATCAGTTCTACGGCCTTGGCGTAAAATGAAAAGTATGTACCAGAAAATAAGAAAAATATGCAGCCAGGTATGGTCATTGCACAAAAATGCAATGGCACACCGATGAATATGAATAGTATAGCCCAAGTTATTACAATAAACTGCAGCGTTATCTGTAACAATACAACTAATAATACTTAATAGTTCAAGGCTTATTCTCTCAAGAGTAAAAGCTTTCAACATACCTCCCTGAAGCAAAAGCAGTAGAAGGATCTCTTAACGAAGGACATAATGTAATCACGCACCAATTCTTGACATTTGAGCTCATCATCATCACGATAGTTGCGAATAACAATAAACGGTTGCATTTGAATTGAAACTCAGGTGTGCCCACCTGACTTTAATATATTTAAAACGATTGAATTCGGGAATTTATACTAGAACCTTAGAAAGCACTTTGCAAACAAAACAAATGGAAATTGCGATGACATTCCCGAAGGTATCTCTATTGTCGATAAGAACAGTAATCGATTAGAAAATACAATTTGTTACATTGTCTTCTCTACGATGCCCAGCAGCGTATTTATAAGACATTGATAGCTCTAATTGATTATATGTGAAAATCATAAATATTGTTAAATATTTGCAGTAGATAGTCCTATAAGAAATATAAGCGATTATACTATAAAACCTCATTGTATAAATTTGTTATTCATTATATCGAACAATATAAGAAAATGATATTGGGCTCCTGTACTGTGTTAAATTTTAGTACTACATTACTTTTCATATATAACTATTATGTGTTCTTACACATATGGTTTGCTATGAGTTTGACACTCATGAGCTGTTGCAAAAAAATTAAATCAAAATGACAGCAAAGAATCTTAAAATATTTTATTACTTGAGGAGAAGAGGAAATATTTTACATTATCTCTATGGGCATTTAAAAGGGCCAATCAATATAAAATATTGATTTTAGCAAAAGGTTCTTGCAACAACATTTTTCCAATTTTTTTTTTTTTAATTTGTTCGGTTATTTAAATATTTAATTTTTGTTACATGTCAATTTGACGGAAAACATATGATTTTGG